TACATTATATTATACAACTCAATATGTTATAAAAATAACAAAAAGAAACATAAAAGATCGATTACACATTTACAATCAAAATCTTTTGATTGTGAACCAACATAAACTATACATTTAGTTGCATATAAAATATTTATTATTTTCAATGCTTCATTTATTGTATCAAATATTCTAACTGACCCATCAGTGGATGCTGTTGCCTTAAAGAAACCGCTCAGTTTTGAATTAAATGAAATCAATTCACATTTTTTTACAAGAAGTTGTTTGTCTGACGAGGAAACATTCCCAAGTAATCATTCGGGCTGATATTTTGCTCATAAGTACCCATGTCGCCTTTTTTTTGCCAACTGCGTCGCAGTTGCGCGTAACTGCGGCGCATTGATCGCAGTAAAAACTTCTATTATAAACCACGGTTACTGCTACGCAGACCAATGTGACTGTGTCGCAGTAATCGTAGCGTACGATCCGCTGTAATTGGCACCGACCAATTACAAGTGATTCCTCCTTACTTACAGTTGGTCACACGTACTCCAGCAGTAAAACTTAGCCACACATAGACCGTATAAAAAGCACTGCCCATCAGGCTTCGGCTGATAACTCGTTCTACTACAAAAGGTAGACCATATATTCCAAAAACATTATTCAGTTTTTTTTCTAATTTTTTTACTTTTTCTAGATTTTAATTTTTTTTAACTTTTAATTATTTATTAATTTTTAATTTTTTAATTTTTCTAGTTTTTAAAATTTTTCTAATCTTTTTATTTCTTTTTATGAGTAATTTTTTTAATTTTGTTGTTTTTCTCAGTTTTTTATTTTTTTGTGTTTAAAAAATTTTTTTAATTCTCAATAAAAATATAAATAAAATGAAAATCTCACCTATGCCATTTCTGTTATCAATTGCAACACAGTTTGACCGCAATCGAATACATGGGGTATAAATATATATATAGATATATACAAAAGAGAAAGTGCATCTGTCGTTCGTTATTCTAATTTATTGGTTTCTAATTTAGCATTAATATATATATATATTACTTTCTAATTAATAAAAACAATATTAGAATCCGTTATATAAGCCAAAATCGCTTAATTGAATTTACACGATAGAAAACAAAGATCTTTACATATATATGAGAAGAATAGTTTAAGAAAATGATTAACTCGTATTCCACTATGTAATAATCGAATGTATATCGCAGGCTTATTCTAACTACCATTAGTATAATACATAGCGCTATTCATAGGAGCCAACGGTATAATAAGGATTAGCTATGCTACCAGAGACTGATACGCATGAAAAAACCTCGATATAATTCGGATCGACAGCATCTCTAGTTGGATTCAATTCAAACCTATTTTAAAAACTCCTTATTCGATTCGATTAGGTTTGGACGGTATCTATATTCGGGTTTGATTTTTATTTCGGTCTCTCGACGACACTCTTCAAAACTTTCAACTTTATCTATAAATGATGACGTTATTTTCTATCTAAAACCGTTTTATTTATTCATACGAGATTCAACGTAACTGAGAATGAATTAATATTTTCGAACTATATTTTAATAATAAAACGATTTAACGGCGCCATCTACGTATAAAAGAAATTTTATTTCATAGCTGACACTGATTTGAGATCTACAGCTACGGCAGATGTTTCAAACACATAAACATTTTTCAACGGCTCATTGAAAACGACTTGTTTTACTCAGTTTTAATAGACTTCTGAGATAGTGTCCTGTTTGGTTAAAATCATGCGAAATGAACTTTTTTTGTTTCCCGAATTTTGTTTGTTCCGTTGCGAAAAACTTTCAAAGTACTCGATCTCAAATTTTCTCCATCTGTCCCATAACTCCCTGTTCGTCCTGTTGACTGAAAAACATTTATATGCATCATGGTTAGTAGTTAAATTGTTCTTTTTGCTTACTTAATTGCAGTAATTAATTCTTGTTGAATGCGACTGATCATCTTCTTCTTGTTCGCGACACATTGTCTACAAATGAAGTCTTTTAATCGTTCTTCATAGGTAGACATGATTTTGAAATGAGAAAAAGTGTTTTCTGCGACCGTGAAAATGGAATGACGATACATATGAAGTTCTTTTTTTTTCTTGTGAAAACTTGATTTCGATTGGAGACTATAAAAATGCAGATAAATCAATGTTAACGGCTGAGAATTTCCAGATATGGTCATGCATGATTGAATCTGAGAAAATCATTAATATTGCAATGGCTATATCGAACAGTTTTTCTATATATTGCAAAATTTCGTTCAAATCGATTATTTATTAACTAGCCGGTTGAACCAAGATAGCTGAATATGACTGAAATTCATGTTGATTTCTACTATGGAAGAGTCAGAATTTGAAATACATAGTAAATGTCTTATAGAATCGCATTTTGATATTTTTTGAGATCATGCAGTTTATTGTCTTTCCCACGCGATCTTAACTCGAGTGATAGTCTAGTTCTTTGTCTGCTCTTTTTTTCGTTATCTGCCTTTTTTTTTCAGAGAGGAGGGTCGCTAAATAACAAAGAAGTTGTCTAAACAAAATAGTTTGACTTCTTCATTCCAGTACGTCATCAGACAGTACGCATCATGGCTATATATGATTCAAAATATCAGGCGTATTGGCAACGTTGTACTTAACTATGATCGATATACTGTTACCTAAGCAGACAAACTTTTAAGAAAACGAGTTTAAACGCACAGAAATTGGCCTAAAATCCGCAAAAAATGGACGTTTTTGGCTCACATTCGCGGTTCCAGACTGTGAACCAAAAACATCCATTTTTCGCCCTTTTTGTGTGTTTAAACACATTTTCAGACAAGAAATGCGTGTACACGCATACAAAAAAGAGAAAAAGTGGTCGTTTTCTCATACTCGAGATGCATGATCATGATTACAGTAATGTTTCTAGAGTTGGGAAAACAAGACAACTTTTTTCTCTTTTTTGTATGCCGTGTACACGCGTTTCTTGTCTGAAAACGCGTTTAAACGCATAAAAAGGGGGAAAAATGAATGTTTTTGGCTCACAGTCGGGAACCGCGAATGTGAGCCAAAAACGTCCATTTTTTGCGGATTTTAGGCCAATTTCTGTGTGTTTAAACGCGTTTTCTGAAAAGTTTGTCTGGCTGGGTAATGCATAGACTCAAATCAAAAAAAGGTATTCAAGGCAGAAAAGTCATTTTATTCGTACTGTCGTCGAAATATTGGATCATCATATGCAATCATACATTTGTTTATCGATTAAACTGCAAAAGCATAATCACATTTTCACATTCTAATAGAAACATGAGCTTGAAAAAATGGGAAATAATGTTGATTCGGTCATGGTGACCAGATGTCATGGTTTATCTGAAAAAATCCTACCTTTTGTTGCTCTACTTTTTCCTATTTCCTGATATATGTCTATGCTACAGGCTTTTTAGCATTGATATTAGGCTATGTTTCTTAATATTTTCTCTGCATGCTTTTTCATCCTATACGAGTTCTGTGTCGGATTTTTTTATTTCTGTTTTCCTGTCTGTGGTTCCTTATTGTACTTATTATCACCCCTATTTGTTCGCCATTGCTCATGACATGACATACACATAATCATAGCACCGTCACTTCTTAATCAGGTGGGATTCATCATTATATTATATTCTTCTATCAAAACTGTATGTTAAAAAATGAAATATTTCGGTTCATACTCGCTAAGTGCGGTTAACATTTTAAATTTGTTAGTTTGGCAGTGAAAGTGATGGTTTGAACCCAATATGGTCAATATTTATGAATTTCAGTAGAAAAAGTTGCATTGTAAGTAAGATTTGTATTTTTTTGAGAAGTCCTTAAAAGTAAATTTGGTCATTCCCAATTAAAAAAATTGTTTATCGAATGAGAATGTTGACTTTACAAGCTTATTGGCTTCATTAAAGTATCGCCTAGGTCGGGCATTCTGTAAATATGTTAGTTAATAGATATTTTGGTGACTGAAAAATTGCTTATGAGAATAGATGACTCTTCGAAATATTTTTGCTATTGAAAAAATTCGCAAAAAAATGACATGATATTGTGAAAATTCTTATATAATATTCAAAATGCTCTTACGCGTTGAAAGTTACAATGATATTCGAAAATTAGATCCTATTTGCTAACAATAAAGGCAACACATTCAATACAGAGTTAATGATGCCCACGGCGAAAAATCAGCGACTATCGTATATAACGAGATGAAATTTTCAAAAGCATGAAAAACTACGTTCGTATTATGTTGCAGTATTAAACTTTATTTATTGTATGAAAGGGACGAAAACGATAATTGACAAACGAGGAGCTGTAAAAGAAGCATTGAAAAGTACTATCTGATCAAATTTTTAAAATCCAGTCTATTGACTTCCGTGGAATACACAAATAGAGATTTGGAAGTGAATTTTAATGTACAAGTATAAGTTACTAAATTTAAACTAGTATTAGTAATAATGGCTTTGATTGTTTATCGATCATTTGAATTAAAGAGAATTTTGTTGCTTTTCCGTTGTAAATTAAATAGTTGAAGTCATGATATTGTTTTATGGTGGAGACTTTCAAGGTATTTTTTCGGATAATAAACACGCTTATCGTCTGTAACATGAAACTAAAGAAGTAATTTCGTGTCACTCTCGATTATGATGTTTATTATGTTACTTGATGTCTACAGAATGCAAATATTTCGCATATCAAACAGGTTTTTATAAAAGTAAGAGATATTACAAAGAGAAATGTAAGAGAAAAAAATTACATAAGAAAGAAAATAAGAATGAAGAATGAGAGAAAAAGATGTAGAGCTAAATGGTATGAAAGTTATATGATTATTAGTTCACCACTTGTCTAATGTTTAATTGATTGACAACTTTCACATATGGATTAGTTCAGTTAATTAGATATTTGCAATAAAGTAATTTTACTTATATAGAAACATGCTAATATTTTTATCGAAAATGTGTTAATTACATTGAGCATCTAAATTATTCATTTGACTTCAAAGTTTACTGAGTAGAATTTTAATTAGAGTAGAACTAGCTCTGATTCCGATGATTTTTTCTTGCATATGCCATGTATTTGACCATCGAAATGATTGAAGATAAACAATAACATTTTCCGAAGCTACAGACGATGTTAATTTAAATTCGATCAAAACAGGTAAATATTCGGTAATCAGTTGAAACCAGGAAGTTTCCATTGATTCTTCGACATTCAACCAATTGATAATATTCAGCTTTTGCAATTTCGGCAAACCTTTCAAAAATGGAATCAGCTCAGCGAAAGATGAAATTTTTAGATTAAGTTTAACTGAAGTAAGTAAAGCAGGAAATTGAAAAGACGATGACATTTGTTTCTCGTTCGAATTTTGTATCATCACTATTGAAGCACTTAAATGGCGCAGATAAAGAGTAAATTCGAAAAGAGTATACAAGCTTTGAAAACTACAATAATCAATGTTGGAATATACAACAAATGAAGATGAGTTCACTTGTGAAAAGACGAGTGGTTGAGAAGCATGAATAATGCAGTATCGAAGCGATGGATGTATGAAAATTTGAGAAACAAGCCGTTCAAGACGTTGACCGGAATCATTTGGATCGATTCGACGCGAAAAATTGATATCAAGACGAGTAAGATGAACTAGCGTAGAGAGACAGTACGGAGTGAAAATTGTTTCGGCCTGAAAACAATACAAAAAAAAAACAGTGTTATTCACTGCAACAACACGGTCCTCACGAAACTTTAATCTGATATCAACCAACGAATCAAGTATTCGCTATAAGAAAAAGCAGATTTTGGCTGTTCGAAAATCGAAAAAAAGTTTTCAAAGACTTAAGGAAGGACAGAGAAATTCTCTGAGTCAAATTTGATCTATCTTCTTCAGCACAAAGAGAAGAAAGGAATACAAATATCAGAGTAAGATTAATCTTATGAAAATTATCAGAGTAAAAACATTCAACGAAGAACAAATTTCTTTTTCTTCTAAACTTACTTTTCGGTCTTCGTAGACAAAGTTAAAAATGAGATTTAAATATATCTATTGATGAGTAACAAATAAATGATTTTAGTAATGGATTATTCTTAATAAAGTTCGAATGATACAAATTAATTCTTCATCTCTGCTTTGTATTCCTTCAATAAAGTTATGATAGAAATTCAAAATAAATATTTTCAACGTATTGATTATTAGAGCTTTTCAAAACATTGACGTACAAGAATACTCGAACAAATGTTGTTCAGTCATATAAACAAATAACCATTGATATTCTCATAAATATTTTATCTGTTACTATATCATACAGAAAATTTTAAACAGACTAAATAATCTACTATTTCGTTTTGTTTTGATTATCCATACTTTAATGTTAAACGATAACCAATTTTTTTAATTGGGAAGAAATCGCAAATAGGAAGATGAGGAGAAATTCTTGAATAAATTTCTAGAGAAATATCGAACTCTTGAAAGCGAAGCTCAATTTGTCGTAGAAGGAGGTTTTTAACTAAAACCATAGTAGATAGAATGCGAACTAAAATAATGTACTACTCAAAAGAGTTATTCTAGCAGTTTTTCTTTTTATACAAAAACAAATCGCAACTAGTCTCGTCGAAAAATTTAGGTAGAGCTCTTAACATATCATATCAAAACTAAAATTCTAAAATATGGTTGGTATAACTTTGAAAGTTCGAATTTATTTTAATCATAATGCCACAAATGTGACGAACAATTACCTTATGGCTTATTACTTCGAAAAAATCTTTTCTTGGTATTTTAGCAATGTTGATAAAGCTTTCTCAAAAAAGTCAGCTTGTATTAAAAGAACTGTTGATAAATCTCAGTTTTTAACAACTGAAAATCATCCACAGTTCGTCTAATCAGAATTAATACTACATTATCATAGAATCAATGACAGTTTTTCTAATCATGTCTAATTAGATCATTGTTTTTTCCAGAAGACTCATTGATGTTCGACGATGAATATGTTAGATTACTTTTGTTAGAGATAAAACAAAAATGAAAATCTGTATAAAATAGTTTTAAAAAGAAAATATGACATTTTTCGATTAGAAAGTATTATGATCGAAAAATATAATCATACAGTTGAGCTTACTTCGTCAAGTGTGACATTGGTTAATGATAAGGCTTTTAAATTGACATAATTATAAAGAGGACTTAATTGACTAAATATTTCAATACTGCGATAGATGCTATAAGGCTGAATTGCAATTGACGAAATATTTGGCTGTAGTTTCGTATTTTCAATAAAATCAATCTTTTTCTGAATCGTACTTTTGTCCATCATTCGAATAATGAGTTGATGCGAAGTCCATGGATGATTAAAAACGAGATAAGTCAATCGACTATTTAAGTCAGCAAAGATCGTAATAAAATCTTCTAATACTAAATATTCGATAATCGAAATGATGGTTTCATCAGATAGATCTTCGAAAATAGTAACTAATTGAGAAATAATTGTCATCGTATGAGACTTTTAATTTAAATATTTCCGTCTGAGGTAGTTGGTATATTGTTGACTATTTGAATAAAGAAACTTGTCTTTTAGTTACCATGATTATAAGAGTTGAAGAAAAACAATATAAAACGAACGAACAGAATTGAGGCACCTTTTTACTGACATCATATACTGATAATACTAATCGGCGAATAAAAAAAGAGAAATAAAAAATATTATTGCACTTGTTGGCAATGAGTCACATGCCTCATAATGAGTACCTTTCTCATTTTTCTGGAAATTTATCCAGATTAACACATTTGACCATTCGATTTACACGTACAGAAAAACTTCTATACTCCTGCAAGGTCGTCTAAGAAACTCAGTTTTATATAAATAATGGGTTAAATAATTTTCTCTTCTAGCAATGCTCAGAATACAAATAACAAACATAAACTTTCCTAAGCTGCGTTATCATTACTCAGAGAAATCACACACTCCTATTTGAACTTCATTGAATAGATTTGAATGTTTCTATATCTCGTAACATGAAGCGTCTTTAATTCACATCTTATAGATTGATCTTGGCATTCATGTGTCTACATTTTTCATTATACATAACAGTCAACGACGTCAAAATGAACTAGCAAGTTCGTACTAATGAAATTAGTGCAGAGTTCTCGAAAAGAAATATCATTTGAAAGGTTAGCGTGATTTTTACGTGTAATTGTAATCATTGGGTTGGGTTTAACCTTAAGAAAATTCATATACGATGCCAATCTTATTCGGAAATCTACAAATTTAACTGATGAGAAGAAGTTATCATAAAATTACTTCTGCTTTCTTTTGTATTGATATCAATAATATTAGCCAAGAAAGAGAAACTAATTAGTTCACTAATTACGGTCTTTGCTCTATACTCACTCGTATATATATAATTAACTTCTTGAAACTATTTCACCATTAATAAAGAGTCCATACTTGCACAGTAAAGTGGCTTTAGGAAGGCGCTTAAACTGTGTAGTAGTTTCTTAGTTTATTAACAAATATTTTCGATAATTGAAAAAATAAGTAGAAAAGATTTTCGAAAATAATCCCTCAGATACGGTATATTTCGATCGCGAAATTCCAACTAAACATTTTGAAATCCTTAGTATGGCACATTTTTTTATTTCATACATAACAAAATGGTGAGTAAGTCGTTTATACACCTTGCGAAAACCTGTTGCCTTTGCATTTCAGTCAGTAACATAACATTATTGAACCTAAATATGAAATTACGGTAAAGCTTAGTTTGAATTTTCTTTCTTTTTTATATGTTGTCGTTCGATGTAAATTTATTGTTTGTCATCCTTTCTTTCTTTGTTTGGTGCACAACTTCAATCATGCTTCTTATCTCTACAAACCCGAAACTGTTGTTGCATGTAACTGCGTACAGGGTGTAACGACTTGGATCAGTAACCATACCTACGGTTACTGACAGAGGTCGACAAGCTCAGTTTTACCTCACAGCTGATGAACTGCTCAAAACGCTCACTAACACGAACTGAACTATTCGAACAGTTCAGTTCAGTTTGTGACAACCGTTCGAACAGTTTAATTCAATATGCGAGAACTCTTCGAACAGTTCTCCCGAACTGACCTGAACTGTTCGCACAGTTCAGCTCAGCTCAGAGAACTGAAAAGGTCCGACTCTGTGGGGTAGCCATAAATCCTCATATGCTATCCTAGAGGTACCCATAAGACCTCATGGGCTATCCTATAGGGGTATCCATAAGTCCTCATGGGCTATCCAATAGGGGTATCCATACGTTCTCATGAGCTATCCTATGGAAGTACGCATAAGTCCCCATCGGCTATTCTATAGGGATATTCATAAGTCCTCATGGGCGATCCTTTGGGGGAACTCATAAGCCATCATGGGCTATCCTATAGGGGTATCCATATGTCTCCATGGGTAGGAGTGGGAAGTTACGGTTACCGCTCCCGGGTAACAGTAACGGTACAGTTACCAGGGAACGGTAACGGCCCTTTACCAGTTACCCGGGAACGGAGGAATGGTCAGGCGAGTGTCTACCATCATCGAATCCATAGCATCCATCCAGAAGTTCTATTAGTGGGTGTACCCTTGGCCCATCAAGTGCTAGTATTTCGGGGTATCCTTAGGTTCTCATTGGAGAACGACGGGTGCCGCCCAATACTTTGACTTGAGGACCTCAGGGTGCTCCTGAATAGTAGGACTTGAGGGCCCAAGGCTTCCCGCCACGATAGGACTTGTTGAACCAAGGGTACCGCGCAACACTAGCACTTGTTCGCCAAGGGTATCCCGCATTACTGGCAATTGAACCTGAGCGCTTTATGGTTCCGCGCAACACTTGCACTGGTTGCGTCGAAGGTTCCGCGCCACATTTGCAGTGATTCGGTCAAGGGAACCCGCACTAGTGGGAATTGAACCTGAGGGCTTAAGGGTTCCGCGCAACATTTGCACTGGTTGGGTCAAGGGTAGCCGCACTACTGGCAATTGAACCTAAGGGCTTAAGGGATCCGCACAACACATGCACTGATTGGGCCAAGGTTACCGTGCCACATTTTCAGTGTTTGGGCGAAGGGTACCTAGCAATACTATCACTTGATGGGCCAACGGCATCACATAATAGTAGAGGTTGTCGACCCAAGCGTAGCCCCAATATTATGGCTTTAGGAACCAAGGGTACCGCTCAATAGTAGGACTTGAGGAGCTAAGGGTACTCCAAGAGGTAGGGCTTGAGGACCCTAGG